ACCTACTAAGTTTGTTTCTCAAGGAAGTTACAAACCTCATTCTCATAAGGGAGAGAAGAAATATCTTTCAATCCACAAAGCTGACTCAGAAAATGACGCACACCATAAAGTGTGTTCGTACAACTCCTAACATGGTTTATAGGCATCAGGTCTTTCTTTCCCATTGCCTTTAGACCATCTTGTTGGCCTCCCAGCAGTTAACTGCAAGAAACTGCCCCTGGCAACATGAACCTCTGCCCTCACCTAATGTAGTGTTCACACTTTGCACAATGTGATGCCTCAAGGCAAGAAGCTGGAGGAGCAACTCTGGTGAGAGGTTTGCTCAGCAGTGTGTTCTGTCCTTCTGGCAGAGGGACACACAGACTCTGTGTTTACTGTAATTTAAACCTTTAAGTCATTAATCCACCTCCATCTGGGTTATAAGTGTGAGCTTTGTACTTGCTTCAGGCCTGCTCCCTTTGCAGGGAAATGGACTGCAGCTACTGTATGATGGGCACTGGCCAGTTTTGATCGTGAGTTTTGATCGTGAGGGCACAGTCAGCCTTCCAGTGACATTTCACTCTCAGCTCTCCTCCCTTTCTCCCTACTGTCTCCCTCTGCACACCATCTGCTTGCTAGATTGGAACTGTGTGACTGACATTCAACCTACTACCCCCATGACATCTATGTGGGTCCCTGCTGCAGCTCTGGGGACAGAGAGGACATGAGGACAGAGAGGACAGTGGGGTTAATGAAACAGAAGCCAGCGTTAGAGAAACCATGATGATGGACAAACTCCAACCTGGAACACAAGGGTGGCTATGCCAGTGGATACCTTGGAATGATATTTTGAGGAGGAGCTTAGAGGCAAATCTGGGGAGCAGCAAGGTCATCATTGTTTCAGTCATATAAGTGGTACTGCCATCTTAGTTTTTCATGTGGAAAGAACTATGGAGGTATTTCTGAAAAAATAATTTTTATTAAATTAGTGTTATGGAGGATAGTGAAATAGATCGATGTCATGCTAAAGAGATTCACATTAAAAATAATCTAATCTGTACCCCTTACTCCTAATAAAGTTTTCCAAAAGAATACTTCTTAGTTCATTATATCCATAATTCTACAGATAAAACTATATGAGATGTAGAAATATTTCAATAGATTTTTACCTTCCAGTTGATTTTCCTTTTCAAACAAAGAATGCAGGGTAATAGCTGTTCTGACATCAAAGTTACTGTTGAATATTAATATTGGAGCATGGAATTTCACAATTCTATGTGCACTGACTTCCTGATGTCTTTGAATCCTGAAAGATGAAAAAGAATTGGAATGCTGAATTAAGAAACATACAGTTTTTATTGCACCACAACTTTGTCTGGGACTTTACTGGGAGTGCTTTTACAATTTTACTATGTTTAGATGCTCTAGTATTTTAAATTATTGCAGGCAGAAAAATTGAGAGCAAAAGTCCAGGGGTTGGACTCAGTGATCCTTGTGGGTTCCATCCAACTCAAGATTTTCTGTGGTGATTCTATGATTCTGTTTAAAAGTGATTGGCTTGAAAAGTGGCTAATGGAGCAGATCCTAGAGAACAGAAGCTGAGTTACTTCTAATGTCAGGTCATACAGAAAAAAAATTCAGTACTTGAACCATAAGGAATAAATATTCTTGATCATTCCCTCCGTACAGCTTTATTAACTAGGAGTGTCACATTAAGGTAAGAAAAGCAGCTGTTGAGTCATTCTCATCAGGAAGCAATGCTTCATACAGTATTTTCTAGAATCCCTCACATTGCAATCTCCAAGTTTCAGTTTTCTTTATTAACCAGGGTTAGCACAAACTGCAGTCTCAGTTTCTTTTGTTCAATGCATTTGTATGTTAAAGGTAAAGGGCACACTAAATGCCAGCTTTGCACAATTTAGAGCTCTGATCTTGTGCTATCTGAAAATAGACTCTACGTGTGGGAACACTGACTGCTGCAAAAGAGTTTGACATCCTAATCTTCATCATGAGCAATTGGGTGTTCCATTTTACCTAGAACTGGAACAGCTGGTATGAACAGAGACCTAAACTCAAGGAGAGGAAGCGAAGGAATTAAGACTGGTGTTTTGCAATAGGGCTTACTCAAATGTGAGCCTGGAATAAAAGGGGCAAGGTGAACTCTGCATAATTGTCACTACAGGGGACAGGATAAAAAATAGTTTAGGATGGCTATTAAGTTACTACTAAAAGAAGGCAAAGCTACTCTTTCCCAAGGAGTCAGCTTAAATTTCAGAATTACCAATGGGAGAGTGCTGGCCTCCAAAATCTTCCTTGGTTTCATTTTTAACCAAAATGCTCCTGGGTGTGTCACAGCGTCATATGGCAGAAGAAATAGGAAGTGAATGGTGGGACCAAGAGAACCTCTTACTGATGAATGCCAACTCAGTTAGAGCTCTCTCTGGGTAGGAATGTGCAAGAGTAAGATGACTTGCTTGTTGAAAGTAAAAAAGAACCCAAAAGAGTGCACATCATTTATAAATGATGGGAAAACTTGCCTCCTGCTTAAAGACAATAGACATTGTCAGAAATCTCTGAGAATCACCTCTATTTTCTGGTACAATACTTGTATCATGTGAGGGAGAATGCTGAGTAGAAATATGCATGCACAATGCACGCAAACCACAGTCAGCAGTGGAATTTATTCTTGGAATAAAACTCTTGAGCTTCATTGCTAAAATGCCCAAGTTGCAACCCAAGTCTTGTATGAGTTTGAGACACTCAGGCCACACTTGTGCAGCCAGTAGTGGTGGTGACTGTGGGAGAGCAATTTCAGCACCAGGGTAGCTGTAGATACAGGGAGACAAATGTGTATGGTTGGCCTTGCTGTGACAATAAGCAGCTTTCCTACTTCTTCAGGAAAAGCACTGATTCTCAACTGGAAGGCCCTTGGCTATGCTCTTACACTGGGCTAATTCTCTGCTATGAAGTAAAGCCTACTCATGCTTCCTTCCTAGCAGGACATCCAGGAGGGACACTTTAGCAACATGGAAATTAGTGGCTGTTGTCTCTGTTTAAAAGTGCAGGTGTTCCATCACCTACACACACACATGCCCCAGCACAGTTTTCAAGCCTTTGAACAGAACAAGTAATCCCTTTACCTTTGTTTTCTAGTTTGTATTCTGGATGATCACCTGTTTGGTATTATTTAACAAATGTTCATTACAAGTCTTCTGAATTTGCACCTTTTTATTAAATATTATTTGGTTCCAGTGATGATTTTCTAGAATTAAAAGCACTTACTTAAACAATCTGAGGAATATCAGCTATCTGAAATTAACATATGGTACAGTTGTATGCATTCTGGCAAGTTTTTTTTTACTGGCTCTTTTGACAAGGTTTATTTTGATTTTGAGAGAAATATTTTACTATTATTTATTAATTATGAAACTTGTAATGAAAAAGGTAATGGAACTGTTTAAGCTCAACGTGAGAGCACCATCTAGAGGCAAATAACATACCCTGTATCAGGCTCAGTGCACCCACGAGCACAACAAACTGGCAAACTACTTTGAATTTAATTAGAGAATGCTTTGAGAAAATAATCCCAAACTTCTCTGTACTAAGGGAAATTTCTTTCTCCTACACTGTTTATGATTGTGAAATGGAATAAACTGGTGGGAAATCTCCAGTGACTTGCAAAGAGGAAGATTGAGAAATCAGCAATCAAAAAAGTATGAGCATTTCAGGGCACCCATGACTGAAATAATGATGCACTCAGTTCTTTGGAAGCATGATTACAGTTGCTCTGTGTGCTGAAAGGTATGAAATACGTGTGTCGATGTCTAAGACAGGTGTTAACACAAGGATTTCTTCAAGCAACAGTCCATATTAGAGAGATGCCCCATTAGCACACCCCTCAGTGCATTTAGACCATGGTTTAAACAGCAATGAATTAAAAATAAAGCAAGTTTCCTGCGTCCAGAACTTTGTGTTTAGGAAGTCTGGACATGTTTAGGACTCCTAGGGGGATTTCGGTTTTTCACTACAACACATCTTGGGTAATCTCCATCTTGTGGAAAGAATCACAAGATGCTACAGTACATGTAAGTGAGTGGAAAATTGTCTCTATATACTTCTGGTTTATAGGCAGTGAGCCTTCTGTCTTAACAACTGTTAGAACCATAAAATTTTGAAGTAATTCCAAATAGGCACAATTGTCATGGAAGGAGCAAATAGACAGGGGCAATAATACCAACTAAATAGTTTCTGAATGCAGCAGAAGGATGATTAGATTCCTAAATTACTGTTGGCTGTGTAATATTGTAAAATATAACTATATCTCTGTCATGGAACAATGATGTTTGAATTCAGTTCTGCATCCTAGACCTATGATATTTTTTAGTTTAGGAAATTTTCATAAGGATACTCTTCTTTAGCTGTGGAAGAAATGCATAATGCTTAGATATCATAAAAAAACCTGAAAAAATAATAATAAAATAGCTGTTACTTAACAATATATATTTTGCTTAACTATATATCAGTTTCTCAGGTAATTGTCTTCTTTCTAGATGCTTTTAGAGTTATGTTCAATATGCTTTTAATAAAAATTCCCAAGTTAACAAACACTCCCAATTACTGTTTGAGATTTGCAATTAACCACTTACCTATGCCTATCCAGCCCAGAGAAAATGTCTTTTTAGCTTGACAGGTCCATCCACACCAGCTGTTACAGTTAGCTCAAGCCACACTAACATCAGTAAGAATGTCTTCAGAGAGCTTGTTTTTGTGCTGTCACGCCGTGGAGAAGCTCATGCCACCAGGCTTCATTGTCCTGGTTTTATTAAGATGCTAGATTATGAAGAGGTTGACTTGCCTTTGCAGCTTCACCCAGCTGTGCAAAAATGCCTTAAATGGACATTTTGTGGCACAGTCTACTTTATGAATTCAGTGTAGTCCCATGACCCACATCAATGCTCAGTGTTTATGAGGATTCCTCTAAACTAGGGGGATGCAGCCCCTGATTCTGCATCCCTTTTATTTTCCCTTATAGCTCTGTTCCCGTCTACCTCCCTCCATACTTAACTACAGGTAAATTACTGTAGGGGACATTTAAAGATGGCCAGCAAAGGACTTTCTAAAAACTGCAATTATTCTTTTTTGTTTCTTTACATTTACCTTTATTTTTTTTTTTTCAAATGAGAGTTCCTTTCTCCTCCCATATTCCTTCCTCACCCTTCACTTAATTTTACCAGCCTTGTCAGGTCTTGCTCTATCTCCTCCTGGAGACAGGTGTGTCCCCTTTTCTTGATCATGCACTGTAAACATAGGCAATGGCATGACAAATCTCAAACAACTGCTGCCTTCTCCAGTTGATTCACTGGTTGCAAGAGCTGAAAAAAAAATAAGCTAATGGCCTTTCAGTGAAAAAAGCTCTTTTGATTATTCAGGCTCTTACTTCTGTTCTCTGGGATGTCAGTATCTCCTTTTCTGCCATCGTGAAGTTTCCCAAGATAAATAAAGTCTTAATTTTATTATGAAAATGCTTTTTACACTTTGTACTTCTCGTGCTTTCTTAGTGTTTGCAAAGGAGAATAAAATCCAAGAGGTCGGGAATTACTTTTTCTTTTAGGTTTATGCCACGAAATCATATGACTTGCACACAGAACCTCCAGAGGGTTGAATTTGTAGCATAACAAGAAATTCTTTACTGTGTGGTGAGGCACTGGCACAGGTTGCCCAGAGATGTTGTGGATACCCCAAACCCTGGAAATGTTCAGGGCCAGGTTGGATAGGGATATGAGCAACCTGGTCTAGTGAAAGGTGTCCCTGCCCATGGCAGGGTGTTGGAACTGAATGACCTTTAAGATCCCTTCCAATCCAGGACATTCTATGGTTCCTTAATATTCTAAGGATCGAATTGTATCCTTGAGCATATATATGAATCTCCACAGGGAAATCAACGTAAAAGATATACAAGTAAAATTTTATTCTTATTGGAAAACAAGAAACTATCAGGATATTTGGTTTCTGTATGCTTTGGTGTTTGGGTTTGGGGTATTTTTTTAGACTGCAGAAACTAAGTAGAAAGTGGGAAAATTTACATAGATCAGTAGTTCTCAAACCTTCTACACTGTCTGTTTTCAGATCAAACAGAGCTTTGGAGATGGATGATTCCTGAGGTTTAGATTGTATTACTGATTGTATTACATCAGAATTGTGTATTGTGTAAGATATTGTCTGAGATATTGTGTGAATCACTATTACTACATCTTCTTGCTACTTATGTCTGATTTATGTCAAATACTTACACATTTATATATATATATATATATATATATATATATATATGTTGGGGTTTTTGCTGTCTAGAAATCTGTCAGTCTTTGCTCTGCATCTGATTAGAAATGCTCATTTGCCTAATTCATGCAGGTCAGTATTTGTGGCATTGACATCTAGCTGGGAAAAGTCAACAGGTAAGGTGGGAACATCCTAAAGCATTCTTTCTAAATCTGTAGGAGTTCATCAGTCAACACTTAAATTGAGAACAGAAATCAGCTACATCACAGTCCAGATTCAGCCTGATTTCACCTGCTGCAGTTAGCTTGGCCCAGTTTCTCTTTTTTATTACAGTGACCATGGAAAAGATCTGTTGTATCTGGGCTGTATCAGAAGTGTGTGCCCCTCTGCTCTCCTCTGGTGAGACCCCACCTGCAGTGCTGCATCCAGCCCTGAGGCCCCACCACAAGAAGGACATGGACCTGGTTGAGTGAGTCCAGAGGAGGCCACCACAATGATTAGAGGGATGGAGCTCCTATCCTACAAGGAAAGGCTGAGAGAACTGGGATTGTTCAACCTAGAGAAGAGAAGGATTTCGGGTGAGCTAATTGTGGCCTTCCAGTACCTGAAGGGAGCCAACAGAAAGATGGAGATAGTCCCTGCCCATGGCTTGGACTAGATAACCTTTAAAAGTCCCTTCCAACCCAGGCCATTCTATTATTTCATATTACATAATATATATATTATATGTATTATTTACATAGGAAATTGTTCAGATATTTTTTTCTCAGGAATGGGCTTTTTGGCTCTTTGCTTCCTTCTCAATAATACGAATAAGACATCCCACAACTATGGTTTCAGCAGCAGAAGCCAACCCTTTCCCTGTGCACCTGCTGATCCCTTGTCCCCAGGAGAGGGCAGCGCTGTGCCTGGAGCCAGGAGGGAACTATCCGTTCACAGCTTTTGCCTGAGTAATAGAGAAATGTCTTCAAAATAAAATGCAGAGGAAAAGATTGTCTCTGTATAGGCATACTATAACCTTCAATGTACCCTGTAGCACTAAAAACTGGGTGGGGGGTTGGGGGGGGTGGAAATATGTTTAGCAGCATACTAATTAGGCGCTAGATACACAAAGTGACCTTGCTCAGCTTTCTAATATATGCAAGACTTGAAGACTATCCATGTAAAGATCATAAGCAAATTTCCCCCCAAGATTCTTACAATCTTTTTCTCATTTGCCCAGCAAGTAAACCTTTATCCTTGCTGTCAATACATGGGGCACTTGAATCACTTACTGTGGATGTCATCAAAAGAGACAACCGTAGAAAAGAAGGTCCCCAGACCAAACACCAGTTAAACACTGAGTTCTACAACTAATCCCTATAAGAGTTGGAGGAAGTCTCATAGAAACCCATGGCCTCCCTAAAATATCACCAGCTCTTCAGGGGCACAATTTACAGACCTTTTTTTAAATTTAAACTTGCATGGTTTTAAATAAAACATAAGTCCCTTGAGGCCATCAATAAACTGACATCAGATATCAGAATTTAATACAAAACTGGTTTTGCTGAGATAGGGCTTCCTGCTGTGCATCCCTACCTCCACAGCATTAAACAGAAAGCTGCGAGCTAGGGAATTTGATCTGTAGGCCAAATTCTCCCTTTGAGATCTCTGGCATAAGTGAAGAGAGAACATTCCCCAGCAAGAACGTTAGGCTTGTGGGAGCAGTGCTCTCAAGGAAACCTTAAATGTAGCAATAAAAAAAGAACCAAACATCCCAGCAACATGGTTTCAAGAACCACTTAGGCAAATTTGGTCCATCCAATTTACACTGAAGGAAGCCACTGCCACTGAACTCTTGAGAGTGTTGTCACAGCTGTTTTGGGTCAAAAACCCAAAAATATTGAATATATTGTACTCTGTGCATACACTGAGGGAACACAAAGACATTATGAAGTCTTGCTTCTCCTTGTGTGTGATTTAGACAGTGTGATAAGTTCCAGTGACACTTCTTCCCACATAGTATTTTGTAGTTTTGATTTGTTTTTCTGGTTTCTGATACAGGTATCTGAAGAAATCAATGAGATGTACAGATATAATTGCAAGATGAGCCAAGGAAAATGCATACTAGGCAAGGAATGACCCTTGTGATACCTCCACCTCAGCAAATCCACCCTTGATTACAAGTATTCATGACTAATGGTATTGTTTTAATTATAATGGAACACTTATTGTTGAGATGCTGCAAATGCATCCAGTTTTCAAAAGCTATTGTATTTGAATGTCTTGCCAGTTCTTGCTGAAACTCTGTAAGCAGCAATAATTTTCTATGACACTTGCCAAAGCCAAGTCATAGCCAAGATATTGCCTGATAAAAATCCTAAATGAGGTAAACCACATTGATTGAAAAACTATTTAAACGCACAAGTCTTCTTTACTTTCATTTAAGTACTTTTTCAGTATCTGGATTCCTTTCCTGATTAAAACAGAAAGTGAGGGGACAAAATCCTTGTGGGAAACTCATGCTTCAGTGGATGATAGCTCTTGACATCTGATGTTCCTAGGAATACAGAAATTTCTAAATCAGGTCATACTCAAGATCCATCTTCTTTATCTACTACTTTTTAGCATATTCAAATAATTCTGGGAGATAAGCGAGGCAGGACCTTCTTTGTTTATGCTGGTTACTCTTGCCATTTCTTTTCCTTTTTAATTATAAAGGCAATCAATGTACTTAAATAAATCTTGCTGTTACTTAACACACCTGCTCACCCCAAAAGCCTTTTTCAAAGACTGGTAAAACTGGTTCACTATCCTCTGGAACAGAGGCTATTTCTATTGAATGTTTTGCTTAGTGTAAACAAAACTAAGTACTGAAGATCTTTTACCTACCTTACATAACTTCTTTCTTCCTCTAGCTACTGTATCGCTTGGCTTGTAGATTAGTGGCATTTGAAAGGCCTAGTTCAGCTTCCTTTGTACAGCTAACAATTATTTGAAATCAACATCCCTTTTATATATTTTTCAATATGATATTGTCTTCATTTTCCTTGCTTTTTATTTCGCATATGAAGCTGCTCTGTAAACTACCTCAGCCTATAATCCTTTTAAAAAAACCCAACAAATTGCTGCAGAGACATGGTGGAAACTGTGATCTGAGTTGTCAGCATGTCTGGCATATGTTTTTTCTTTTGCTTCAAGAAGGATGATCCTGGAAACTACAGGTCAATCAGCCTCACTGTTGTCCCTGTACAGTCACAGCACGGGCTGGACTAACACCTTGTAACAGTAAAGGCTGGGGCTGACTGGCAAGAGAGAGAGCACTGCTGGGGGGCACTGGGCTAAGCTTGACTCAGCAGTGTGCCCTGGCAGCAGACTGGGTTCTGTCCACTGCAACACAGCCAGAGGCTGAAAGAAGTGGTTATCCTCTCTTACTCAGCACACACTGGGCTACACTTGGAATACTGTGTCCAGTTTGGGAGCCCCCAGTATAGAAAAGATGATCAATTAGAGCAAATCCAGCAGAGAAAAACCATGACAGCCCAGGGACTGACAGAGTTGTCCTATGAAGAGAAGAAAAGCTTATTCAGCCTGAAAAAGACTCAGGAGGGCCCAATAACAGCCTTCTGTACATCAGAGGAGGATACCAAGAAGACAGAGCCAGGCTTTTTACCAAGGGAAAGAACATCCATGAAAGAACAAGAGAAAATTGCCACAATTTGAAATGCATGAGATTCTGACTAAGGAAAAAATTTTCTCCTTAGAGGGTGTCCCAAAGATTTTCTGGGATCTTTTGTCCTTGCAGATTTTCAAGACCTAACTGGATAAAGACCCCACTATCCTGGTCTGAATTAATTGTTGACCCTGCTTCAAAGCAGGCAGATGTACTACAGGATGTCTGAGAACCTAAATGATTCTGTGAAACATGAGACAGTTGAAAGCGTCTTCTTTTAAAGATGTTACATTGGACAGTAACTTCTGAGCACTGAGAAATTTGAACAGCCCTTTGTATTTTTTCATGGTCTGTACTCAAAAAAATGCAAGATATTTCTTTGAAAATGCAAAATATTGATGTGATATCATCACGTGGTTTGTCTAATGCTATTTACAATGC